TTTTTTAAATGAATCAAATATGACGTTTGCCAGTTCCACAATCAAGCCTATGATTTACAGAGGTTTCTGCACAGAAATCTGAAAGGGGTTTTCCATTTAGGTGGATGTTCATAATTGCGTTTAACGCTTACGTAATGTGTTTTTTTGTAAGTTCATTGCTGAAAAGTCCCTTTCAACTGCTGCAGTACTTCCAGACGGAAACAACATCAATCCACCAGGCGCAGTATGTTGCTGTACGGGATTTCTAGATTAGAGGGTCATTTTAGAAGTGAGGCGCTAGACTCTTGTAAGATAACAAAAATTGAAAATGTATCACCAACATTAACGGGAAAATGGCCGTCCGCGCGGACGTCAGATTCGAAATGTTAAAGAGTCTGAAAAGTTATCTTACCTGTTATCCGTAGCATGCAACCTGTCAGAGAAAAGACACACAATTTTAGTAGTAGGATCTTCATAGAAATTGATTTTTTGATCAGACAATATAAAATGAACCTATATGTAAGACATGTTTATACGAAAAATTTAAGAACAAGTTTTTCATTAATGATGTATATGATTATTTTAGTTAGATCAAAAATGTATAATTGATAGAGTAACTTTGAATTAAGCACTCAAAGTTAGGAAATAAAAAATAAATATTTTTTGCTTATTTATAACTATATAAAAGTAAAAAATCTACTTCGACCATATCGTAGCTGATTTTTTTTTATTTTACTTAAATGACAGTCATTCAAGGAAAAAATTTATATTTTTGCTGTATTGCAATTCAAAATAGGGAGAAAAAGATTTTTTGAATTTTTTTTTCATTTTGGTTCATTGAATTTTTTTTTCTGACATGTCATGCTTCAATCCATTTTTTAAAAAAAATTATTCTGAAATAAGCGACTTCAATTTTGAACAGCATTCTCATTTTTTTTTAACTCGTTGAATGCCACGCTAATTTTACATGGCTTGCCCGTCTGGCCAAACGTTAAATAACTACAAACTAACTTTGCAAATTTAGACAGATTTTGCTAGTTTTTTAAGAGGTTTAGCATGACATGTCGGAAAAAAAGTGCTGAATTATATAGGCCTACGAATTGTTTAGAAATAGCGGTGTATAAAAATCTACTAAATTGAATTTATTAAACCGATTAATTAGCTACCATTTGAAAATATTTATTCGCTATCTGGAGCAAGTTGGCATCTCTGTGTATATAAATAAAACTATTTTTGTGTGTTCGATATTGTATTAATTTCTTCAAACAACTTTTGTTACGATAATAATGTAAAAAAATTAAAAATTTACTCCAATTATGTGTTTCTAATAATCTTGGCTTCGCCGGTCACCGGTGACCCCCGTGGAGCTACGAACAAACTCAGTGCTTGTCACCTGTGACCTCCATGGCATTCAACGTGTTAATGAATAAATAATAAATTAAATAAGTAACTTTTTTTAGTCTTGTTATAGTGTTTGATATGATTAAGCCTTGACTTTTAGGACATTTTTCGTTTGTCATTATTTTGTGCAGACACATATTTTTGTTTGAGGATGAATTTGAAGGACTTATCGTGCTTGCCATACTTTTATACCTCCAAAAAAATATTACATTAACGACCACACGTGTTTTTAATTTTGCGTTATTTATTTTATTGGCTACTTGAAATTTAATTAAAAATTGTGGAATATTATGTAAAAAAATAATAATTTTTTAGGTTTGTATTCAGTACGCAATTTCTGAAAACGAGATAATCATAATACTAAGTCTAGTACATTTTAAAGAAAATCAATTTATTTTTGGCGACTGATTTTTTTGAAAACCGAAATAAATATTCTATTTTGGTTTTCTTAATATTTTTTTAAAGGGAGTATTATAATTTTATAGGCAATACTCCCTATATAAAACTGTTATAAAATACTACTACTATTATATATATATATACTACTATATATATACTACTATTATAAAATATAGAATGTATACTCAATAACATTAAAAATTATTTAAAAAAAATATTAGATATTAGAAAGAAATTATTAGATATTAGATTTAAAAATATTAGAAAGTATAGATTAAAAAAAATATTTTTTAAAAGGCTTATTTTCTTTCTTTTTTTAAAAACTAATTTCGCTTCAAAAAATGAAAGTATTTAAACACGAGTACATAGTTTTAAGAATCCTTACTATATAAACAATAAAAAAAAATATATTTATATAAATCAGCCCTATTTTGCAAAAGGGAAAAAAGCATTCCTGAAAGAAAGTACTTAGTTTTATTAAACCTATACTTACTAAGAGCTAAAGTAATGTAACAGTATAAAAAAATATTCAAATGCGATAATCTATGAGGAAGAAAAATTATAGTATTCCTAAGCAGTTTATATGTAAAACACCATATCACGTTGTCAATGATTGGGAATTACCATGCATCGAGGCAGACGCTCGCCGCAGTTTTGCTTACTTCATATACCATATATTTTTTTTGGTTTTTCCCTTCAGTTATTTTCCGAGCGAAAATCTTCTTTTGAGATTGTTCTTCGTTTCCGGCTTTTTGTCGAATGGGGCTTCCAAATCAAATAGTTTTCTTCTTAAGAACTTCCGCCCTGAATGCTCATAAAAATTATGTCATTAAATTTTTAAAAAAAACTTTTTTTGCCATTGCAATTTATTTTTATTTCGAACTAGTTTTATTTATGAATAATTTCCTTTATATCTAGTTTTTATTTCCGAACTTGCTGCAAATCACTTACACAACTATTGGGCATTATGTGGAAAATAATCGGGTTTTAATTAATAAAATAATTACATTTTTGCAAAGTCTGGGAAGAGAAAGCGTAGTCAAGATTTGACGGAAGTTTAACAATCCATCAGTTAGTTCCACTTTTAAAAAGAAATTTAATTTTCATTCATTCTTTCAAAAGTTTCCTTTCTTAAAATGTATGGTTATATTATAACTATGCAACTTGCAAAAAAATATTTTTCCTCTTTGATATTAATCGAACTAATCAGATCTAGAAGTGCATTTTTAAGTTTTAAAAAATAAATTTTTTTTCTTCATAAAGTCTTAGGTGGGGGAATATAATAATCATTAATAGACTAAAACTTAAACCTTTCGAGATTCCATTAGAGCCATGGAGGTCACCGGTGACCGGTACTGACTTTGTTCGTAGCTCCACGGGAGTCCCCGGCGAAGCCAAGATTGTTAGAAACACACAATTCGAGTAAAATTTTAATATTTTTTATTTTTTTATATTATTATCGTTACTAAAAAGGTTTGAAGAAATTAATGCAATACATACCGAGAAAATCATTTTGGCTTGACGGGCAAGCCATGTAAAATTAGCATGGCATTCAACGTGTTAACGTTATATTTTCGCCTATAAACTTTTCACAATTCTTGGGGGTTTGTTCTACTAATAAGGTGTTGCTATCGCATGCTAATTCTAATACATGTATTTTGTAGGTGATATTTCACTATTTTGTTTTTAGAATTCATGCATAGATAGTAAAATAATCAAAACTTTCTCTAGAATTCATCGATGGCTAAACACAAATTCTTTCACTGTTAAAAATTTTGGGATTAAAAATCCTCCAGATTTAGCTGAAATAAATGAGTGACGAAAGTAGACTTGAAATTAATCCAAAATATCTTGCTACTCGCGCAATTTGAAGTGTTATGGCAAGGTCCATTCCGTAAACAAATGTTCCAGAAATTTTGTTAGAGCCTGAAAACATCACAACATGTCTTTTATCTTTTTTGATATGTCTTGGTCAAAATAATTTTAGATCAAATGTCAGAGAATAAATATCACTATTACATTATATATATTTGGGGAGAAACTACAGGTAAAAAAGAATTGTGTGCACTCATTTTTAAAATTAGCATTTTTTTTTATTATTGGAATTGCATACATTCGCAGGGTGTTCAACGCCGGTGATAAAATGAAATAAAGAATACGGTGAAATTTAAATAATTCACTGATACGTATAAAAGATTGGAATGGGAATAGAATCACAAGTGGTCTCAAGCACGATTGAACTATTTAAATATCGGGGCGGTTGAAATCATTTAAAATTTAATGTTAAAGCATAAAGTTTGCACCACTTAAATATTTAAAAACGAATGAAAGCTGAAGAAATTGGCAGGTCTGTTGTTAAGAAAAATATGAACATAAAATAATACTAATAAACTTAGAAATAAGAACATAATTTACATCCAACCATTAGTTTGGATACTAAAAATTTTTTTTATGAAAATATTAAATAAAAAAAAATTTAATTAACAACTGAATAAACATTAAACATACTTTTTTTGAAAATATCAGTTCTCCCTAGTGGTCTACCAAAATAGTTAAAGCGGTTTAAAAATTTATATCATAAATTTTTTTTCCCTTAGAAATTTATCATAAAATATTCTTTTGGTCTGTACATTATTTCAGTAAGACAAACACAAATGTAGAAAAATGACACCCATTACATAAAAACCATTTAAAATTAAGTGGTTACTAAATTAGGGAACTTCCATTCGCTTTCGTGAATAGTTACTACTACATAAAAATATTTCTGCAAACCATCGGGAATCCTGAAATATGTATTTTCTTAATTAAATAAAATCACCTTCCTTTAAATAATTATTAATGAATTATATTTCTTACCTTGCGGAAATTAATCAGGTGTTACTATTATAATTGCTATTTTGTTTTAGAATTTAGGATTAAACGCGTATTCTGCAGGAAATCATACAGTGAATAGAAAAAAAAAGTTTTATTATTCATCTTTTATATCTAGATCTCTCTTTGAAAAGATGAAATGTTTATACACTGTTGTTGATAATGTCATTATTTCTTTGGCGAGCAGGTGTTGTCATTCAACAAATTTCATTGTGTAATCAGTTAGAAAAAATTGTTTTATCGTTCCAATCAATGATATTCATATTTTTTATATTGCTATTTTTTTTTTACTCCTTTATCGCTACTGTTGGATTATTTTGCAGTTTATGTAAGTCTGAATGATTATTTGAGTCTTGCAGCAAGTGTATAAGATAAAGCTTGATTTTATTTACCAAAAGAAGTTTTTTTTAATTAAAAAAAATCCCGCTTTTTTTTAAAAAAAATGATTCTGTTGGGTTGCTCGGAAAGTAGTTCCGTTTCGTTCCTAACAGAGGACTTCATTGTATTTTTTCACAATCAACTTCATATTTAAGTCGTATAATCATTATACATTTTGAAAGCTAATAAAGGAAGACTTACTTGTGAAAAGATCCAATTGATGCAGTGTAGTAGTTTTTGGTTGGTACTCTTTCAAATATGGAAAGTGGAAAGCAGCATTTTCGACACATTTTACTTTTTTACTAAAAAAGGTAAAAATGCTGTCCATGGGAGAAAAAAATTATCAGATGAATATGGAGAAGATACATTGACAGTAAGCTGATGCCAAAACCGGTTTGCAAAATTTCGATCCGGCAAGATTTCAATTAAGACGTACGGAGATGCACTACGAAAGTTTAGGCTGATGAAGACACAATAAAGGCATTAATTGATGCAAACTGCTGAATAACAACTAGTGAGATCGCTGAGAGATTAAAACTGTCGAATTCGACCGTTCACGATCAGTTGAAACGTCTAGGTTTATTCTCAAAGCTCGACATATGTGGGTTCCTCGTGTTCCTACGGAACGAAATCTATGGCCGTCGCATTCATCTGTGATTTGCTTCTCAAACATCAAGAAAATTATCCATTTTTGAAACGCCTCGTCATTGGAGACGAGAAACGTGTTGTCTACTATATTTATCTGGTCACTACAAAATTTTTAGACAGTGATACTTTTACTTCAATTGAGGAAATTCAAATGAGGCAGTTTTTTGCCAGTAAAGAACAAAAATTGCATGAGCAAAAAATCTGGTACTGCTGGGAAGATTGTTAAAGGTATTGGAATAGAATAAACAATATTTAATTCAATAAAATATTTATTCACCTTAGGAACATCGTATTCCATTTTCATAACGATAAAAAAAAACCCTAATTACTTTCCGAACAACCCAATAAATTTAAAACACATTATATTAGTTTTTATTTGAATCTAAGTTAAACTTTTATGCAAACAATAATAAATATCAGTTGCAGCAACATGTGCTTTATTCAGTTATTGAAAAGTTTTATAAACCCATTTTTTTCAGTTGAATTCAGTTTTCAGTTCAACCATAATCATCAGTGTTAAGGAGAGTATCTTCTCTGAGATTAGTATATAAATATTTTTTTATGAAAATTATTTTTCGTGCCTCTTTAAACGAAATCAAGTAACTTGCGAATCTATTCTTCTTGGCCAATTAATCGATTTTGTCATCCGATTTATAGAATAACGCGCTGGCTGATTATTTCCATTCTCGTTAGGTTTTCTAAACTCTTTATTTTTTATTGAGTTCATAGTTTTGCTTGCATCATTATCTCCCTCACGATTAGAAAACAAATGTCTTTTATATGATCTAGTTTTCTTTTGCCGGTTGAAACTAATTTCAGTATCTTGGGGATTTAATTGTCTAAATCTTCGCGACCATTGAATCGATTTTACCATTCTATTTACAGGGGAGAATGTTGGCTCAATACTTATAGCTTCGAATGTAAAATTAAATGACTGATTAGTAACATTCATCAAAAAGTATTCTGATAAGTCTTGGAGTAATTGGGCAGTTTTTTCAACCATTCTTTTTTCTTTATATGGAACACCTTCCTCTTGATCATTAATGATGTCAGCTTTTTGAGACCCATGAAGTTTAGTTTCTGACCCCTTACTTCTGTGTCCATCTGTATCGTGGAATGATATTTTGGCGAACATATCCGTATCATTCTTTCGCGCAGTATTTGGGTCAGAATTATTTAACGACAATTTCTGTTCCATGCCTTTCAAACTTGTACCTGTTGAAAGTGCTTCTATATTTTGTTCTGTGCTTAACGGAATATTATTAAATGTCAGTTTTCGTTCCATTTCTTTCAATTTTGCTTCCATAGGAAGCGTCCCAACATTTTGATCTGTGCTTAGTTCTACTTCATTTAATGAAAGATTTCGTTCCATTTCTTTTAATGTTGCTTCCATAAGAAGCGTTCCAACTTTTTGGTCTGTACTTAGTTCTACTTCATTTAACGACATTGAGTCTTCCATGTTTTTTAATGTCGCTTCCATCGGAAGCGTTTCCGTTTCTGCAAACGTAAAACTTTCCTGCGTTGTATTTCTCAAGAAGTCTGCTGCCATTATATCTCCTTCAAGACTTTCAGTTCTGTTACTAACACTTTCAAATAGATTTTTTAAGTGATCTTTGTTAATGAGCTTTATATTATCTTTCATATCTTTGTTATAAATAAGTGATCTCTTTGGAAATATGCCCGATAGAAACTTTCTAAGTGTATTAATATCATTTCCAGTTGCATTTTCTGTCACTTTAATGGATGGATAAATCCTTGAAGCTTCTGCAAGCTTGTTACCATTTTCAGTTCTTTTGTCTGCATCATTATCTTTAGAACCTAATTTAGCAGATAATGTTGCAAATGCTAACACATCTTCTTCATTTTCGGGAAAACTGTTAGCAGATTCCGAAAATATCGACCCTCCGAGAGTTTTATTTCTTGCTCTTCTCATGAGATCCCTTGCAATTTCTTTTGGTTCTTTTAGCATTTCTTGAAATGGTGAATCCTGATCTTTGGTGTTTGAAGATTGGGTTTCATTTTCTGGGTTTAGGAAAAAAGCATCTAATTCCTCTTCTTTAACTTTGTAAGTGAGTTTAATCAGTTTCTTTTTTTCTTTAACAGCTGACTTAGATTGAGAGACATCTAAAATTCAATAAAAAATACATTAAAAATTTCTTTTCGGTATAAACAACTAGTACTAGTTGTTTATACCGAAAAGAAATTTTACCGAAGAAAAATACCGAAGAAAAATATATAAATAAAATGCTAGATTGTTTGTTCAGTACATTTTTTTAATGTTTCTTTTAAAGTACGTACTTTAAAGGAAACATTAAAAAATGTACTGAACAAACAATCTAGCATTTTATTTATATATTTTTCTTAAGCGGCAACAAAATCACATGTATTTCAAGTTTACAATATTTCAGTCATCTCCACCTTTTTTTTAACGTTCACTAATAATAAACGTATTGTACTATTTGCATGGCGTCTCTGGTCATTTCGGAAAAGTGCAAAAAGAAGCGCCGTGCTCCAATATTAAGCTCAAACTTGAACCGATCAATGTAAATTGCAGATTAACCTGTTGCAATGTAAATTGCAGATTAACCTTTATCTCTTACACTGATTTTTCTACTGCGCGTCAGACATATGATGTTACACAAATGGTGCCCGTTATTATAATCTAATACCACTAAGACAAATCTAGTACATTATTCTTTCTTGTGCATTGTATATAGACTTGCCGTTTCCTTTTAAAATAACCTGTCTTTTCAAGTTGAAACTTAAAAAATATATGTATACATACTTTTGAATAGATTGAATTTTGAAATGATTGAAACTTTATTAATTCAGTTCTTAAGGCTTCGTGTAACTTAATAACGTACCTTTGTTTGCTTGTCCTCTATATTTTGTACTGGAAGAATCCCTTTTCTTTTTATTATTCTTAAAACCTCTTGAGTTCACTGAAACACATACAAAAATAGTTTGAAAAATTTTCTCTTCATAAATTAAAAGCATTAAAGGATTCTTTTTCTTAACTAAATTGATAGATTAAAATAAAAGTTTTACTCACGGATAAAAAATGGTTTTACAATTATATTAAAATGATTGTTTAAATTTGCACCACAACTCCTCATTTGTTTACTTTAACTTACACTGAGAAAAAAATGTTTGGTAAAAACTAACAGAATATGGTAAAATTTATCGTATTTCTAGCTCTATGGAAACATTAAAAAACTCGATAATTTTTACCGACGCTCTTTGGTAATGATTTTAGTAAAATCAACTGTAAAATATCGTTTTGCAATGCGTGTTAAACTTTTAGAATTGTGGTAAAATTTGGTTATTTAAAGCGTGATACCTTAGAGCATGGCATAAAAAAACCATATATCCCTTCAATTTACTTTCCAGTTTGCTGATTTCACTAATTGTATGGTAATAAGAATTAGAATTTTGAAAACCAGAGTTTCCTGTAAACCGTTACATTCATGAACGGGAAAATTACAAAATAAATGGTTTAAATACCATATATTTTGGTTTTGTTACCAGAATTATTATTTTTTTAACCACAAATGCCCTTGCCATAGATTGCGGTAGTTTTACTAGAATTTTTTTTCTCCGTGTATGTTGTTGTGAAAGAGTATAAAGTATAACTTTTGTAAACAATAAAGTTGTTCGATTTTACCCTAAAAAATTAACTTTTAAACTGGACCTAAGAATATTGTGGTCCAAGGAAAACTAAATTTTTTAGTACAATAATATTTTTTGTGCTGAAATGAGGGTTGTATTTTTATAGGAGTTGGCTATATTTTTATAGTATAAAAACTATTTTATTATTTTTTAGAATTATCGTTCAAATGGACACAGGAAAATAGGAAATACATAAGGAAATAGAAATACGTAAGAGATTGTAGATGTATAATTTAGAAAAGGCATTATGGGCATGTATCCCAGTAGAGCATCAAAATGTTTACAAAAACATCGAAAAATATAAATAAATTTTTGTTTGGTTTTTTTAAAAATTAGTTTATAATGATTCTGATCATCACAACACATTCACATTAGCTTCAAAATTTAGATAAAAGTTTCTCATATACGCGGAGATATTTTTCAAAATTTGAACTCCAGGAATCATGAATCTTTTTATTTGCTTTGATTTTGATTTCAG